CCCCAAAACCCCAAAACCCCAAAACCCCAAAACCCCACCTTAATAGTATTATGCAGAAATAATATATATTTAAAATAAGAAATTACCGAATACAAAATGGGAATGCAACCTCAAGGTCTCAGTATAGAGTCCTTCCAAGTTTCAATGACAAACGTTCCTGGCTATCGGACAACAGATGGTTGAAGGTAAGTCACTTCAGCAAGAAGTCTAATGACAAATCATCAATTAGGAGATCTAATAGAAGAAATTTTCATTCATATTCCTGAAAAAATATTGATGGAGATAAGGAATTCATTAACCTCCTTGGAGCTAGGTTTGGACTTATTATATTCCTCTAAAATTTATAAGAGAAGCTTACTCGTTTGAAGAACATAATTAATAGTTGATAACTGCATCTTCATGCCTCATCTCTTCAAAAATCTGAAACCCTCTTTGAACCTAATTAAAACCCAAATTTGCATAACTTTATAACCCTGAGCTTCATAATCCAAATCGTGAAAAATCTCAACCCATATTATTACTTTTAAATAATTAGAAAATATCAAGCAAAACAAAAATTCAGCTCATCTGAATGCCATCGGCCTAGTCTTAGCATCTACTATTAGAAAAGAGCCGGAAGGAGGCTTTGGCCCTCAGGATGTAGAGTTATGACATTTTTCGGGACCTAAGGCTCAACATATACTATTTTTGATTGCCATGTCAGCAAGATTCCTCTTCTAAAATTTAGCAGAAGCCATAAGACAAGGAGATTTATCAACTTGTCCAAAATTTTATATGAATTCTGAAACAAGCCTCTGCTTGTTTTGAGACACTTTTGAAGAAAATCTTAAAGCTGGAGGGGCAGACTGTCGCATATGAATACCCTCTTTCTTCTTCCATTTATTGATAAATTTCAGCATTATATACAGAAGTTGACACTTTTTTTTGAATATTTACAACTTGTATTAAATAGAGAATTTTCTTGCTCACTCTATAGAGAAGGAAAAATGCAATAAAATTGTTAAGAAAAACTGTAATTATAATTCTGACTCCTTGTTAGGGAGATAAGCAAGCTCTTGAGTTAGGTTAATTGGAGTTTCCGTATTTCCCAGAATTCTAAAGAATTTTGGAGGAGTTTGGTTATCTACCTTGAGATTTCTCAGATGAGCAAGTACAAATGCAACTGATCCAAAGCTTAGTGAATCGAGAGTCTTATTATCGGACAAATTTTTATTCTTGATTTCATAAATTTATATAAAAATATTCAAGAATCTCAAATTTATAAGTGCCTAAAATAAGTAAATAAACTCGTAGCTTTTGCAAATGAGTTAATAGAGCAAGTGATGTCTAGAGACATTCATAAAATAAATTCTCTGATTGCAAAAATGAATGATTCTCAAGCCTATTAGAAAGTGATTCATTGATGTGTATTCTCAAATTGATCTCGATGAAATTAAAAGCTTCAACGCTTTTAATCAAGTTGTCATAAACTCGGTTGGAAAGCACTGAATTTGTTTCGATCTATAACTGATCCCTATAGAACCATGAGAGAAAGCATCGCTCATAAAAGTAGGAGAAGCCATCCCAGAAGGCCTAACAAGATAAGATTGAATAGATCGGGTCTTTCTCATAAGCCACTGTCCACAAAAATAGTTCATATTTTGATTCCTTTATTAATCATCATACTTACTCTGAACGAGGTGAACTGTGCTCTAACATGTGAGCCAGGCAAATTCATGGAGTATGGGCATTGTTTTGACTGCCATGGATCATGCAAAGAGTGTGAAACTTATGGAGAATGAACCCAATGTCAAGAAGGATTCACCTACAATGGTAAAACAACTTCATTTATTGATTCATGAATTTGACAAAATATAAGAGTCGTTTTGAAATAGATTTGGCTCAGACTCTAAAATCCTCTTCCTAGTTAGATCAAGCTACCTTGAGGTACCTAAGAGATTATTATTGTTCATTAAAATGGAGAGTTAAGGACTATGCACCAAAGATCAAGGCTCTTTAGCATATATCTAAAATTTCCTTATGTCTTGATTCCTAAAACAATTTTTACTAACTTACTAGAATTTCTTGGCGAAGTTGCTAGAGAATCTGTAGCCTGCCTCATGAAACCAAAATTGGCTGCAAATAAGCCTAAAAATATTAAAATTGATGGTGTCAAAGTTCTAGTCCAAGAGGCAGGCTTTGAGTCTTTTTAAGACTACCAACTATTATGAATTTGTTTTAAATATTTTTTAATTTTCAAACATGGAATAAGGAGATAAAAATGGTTCTACAGATACTATAAAATTGTGAGATTACCAAGATTGTCCCCTTGGAGAGTTTTACTCAGTCACGAAGGGGCGATGTGACACCTGTGAGGATAGTTGTAATGGGCTTTGATCATACCAATCTCAATGTTTTGAGTGCTCCTCAGGTGAAATCCTTAATTTGAAAAATATGACTTGAGTCACTGAGTGAGACACTTCCGCACAGATATTGATTCAGGATCCGCAACTCAAAGATATCCCTGTATGCAGAGACTTTAATTACTTTGTAAATGCTAATAGCGAGAGCCCTGTTGAGGTTGGAACCCAGCAACATCCTTATAAAGACCTAGAGTCAGCATTTGTTGAGATCCTCAACTATCACAGTCATAATGCTAGAAATATTACTGTTTATGTCATGGAAGCAACTACTGTGTTCGCCAAAAGTGTTACATATGTAGTCAATATGACTCATGTTCAAGTAGAAGCATACAACGAAAACAATGCTGAGCTTGGCCTTGCCAGAATGGTAGGGCTTGATAACAGTACCAAAATTGTAGCACCTGCAATGCCGACCAAGTTCAATATCTTAGGTGAGAATTTATTGGTGAAAATTTAGATAGCAAAAATACCCTCGATGATGAATTAATATTCAATAATTCTGGGTTTAACACTGAGGATAAAGTAGGTCTTCAACTAGAGAGTGCAGTTTTCAAGCCATTCCATTGAGGGTTCATTCTCAAGAACTTCAGAATTGTAACTAATTATGACAACCCAGCAACTTCTCATGCTATTCTGGAGCCCTACAGAGCAGATATCAGAACTGTTGGAATGATCAATGTTGATATGAGAATGCAAGGGACAGTTCTTTTTGCTGCAACAGTCACATTCAATTGGCACATGGAGAACATTCTTGTCGAAACTCAGAACTTGTACAGGTTCAGTCTGACAAGACTGAGATGAGGAGACGACCAAACAGATTTGGGAGTAAAGCTATTTTTCAAAAATGTCACATCTATCAACTCAGCCACAAAGCCGGCTTACCTCCACATCTCAGAGTCATTTGCTAGAAATTCAATTCCAGGAGATTTGCACTTTGAAGATTGTTATTTCGATACCTATCTTGGGTATGACATGCGTGTTGGACAGTTTATCATCTATCAAAACACTGAGAACTGAGATCCTTTAGAACCCAGACACTGGAATTTCACTAATGTTCATACTACTACTTCAAGACACGATGAGGGTAAAGATCCTCAATTTTCAAGAACAAATGTGTTTGGATTCCTCAGAGTTGCTCCAATTGAAGCTACCTTGAATGTGTATCTCAATAATGTCACCTTCTCAAATGACTCGAATGATTGGATTGGGCGTCTAGTCCCTTTCTTTGCTTATCACACAATTATTCATGCTAATGGACTCCATTTTATAAATTCTGAAGGAATTATGATGAACTTTATGAACATCGATGGTTCAGCTATCAACAACATAAGTTTTGAAAATTGCACTGCTAATACAGCGTTCATGTCATTCATCAACTCTGCTGGGCCCATTACTTTTGATGGAGTCACTATTAAGAATATGACTGATACAGGGGCTCATCTCACATCTTTGTTCCAAAACATTATTTATGAAGATGCAAACTTTTCTTTGAAAAACTTGAAAATTGAAGGTTCGAAGTATCTAAATCGAAGAGCTGTAATTTTTGCCACAGGCACATCACAGAGTACATACCTTGCAGAGAATATTGACATTAAAGATTCTGTTCTTAGTGGAGGGAGCACCTTTGTGAGTTATAGTATCTTCAAAGAAGTAAACATTACTAACGTCTCTTGCCTTAGAGGCACAATTCTCGAAGAAGGCACTAATTTTGTGCTCAAAAGCGATTACACAAGTGAGGGATCATCTCCGAATAACACCCAAACCATCAAAAATGTTCACATTGACGAGTCCACTGTATCGATCTATTCAGTATCAAATCCAGATTCACAAACAAATGTGACTCAATCTTTGAGTATCTCTAATGTTACTTACGAGAATTCTTCTTCAGATTACTCATTTGATTTATTCAAGATCTTCAAGATGTCCACTGTTGGCACCTACACAGTCACTATTGAGGACGTATCATTCAGTAATCTAACATATGCTAAAGAAAGCAAGCTCATGTATCTTCAGCAGCAGCTCAAAAGCCCAGTTGTTATCACAAATCTGAATGTTTCAGATGTTATATTTGCTGGAATTACCATCGAGGCTTTTGAGTCTAATGAGATCTACAACAAGACCCATGTGGCAATTACCAACATGAAAGCCTCAAACGTAGACGGATATTCAAGGTCTCTGATCAACTTGTATAAAGGAGCCGATATCGAGATTATTGACTCAGAGTTCTCATTTATTGGTAACTATGCCAAAGGAGCAGTTCTCTCAGGTGGCAGAGACAGAGCAGTAGCCACCTTTATCAACTCCTCGTTCTGGAACAATACTTCTGTTGAGGGTGGAGTCTTTTCAACAGAATCTGAGAGTAATGTCAAATGATACAACTGAACATTCACAAACAACTTTGCAATCTCAGGAGGTGTTGTCAAAGTTGACGCAGATGGAATATTCGAGTTTTATAACTCTACTATCGAGAAAAATTATGCCCTTGCTGGTGCTTTTTCAGAGCTATTTTCATCACAGACAGAAAGCATCATTAATAACTGAAGTGTTACATCTAACTTTGGTCTGACAAAAGATGAGATTGCCACTGATATTCTACCTCAAGGTAAAATTTCTTTAATCTTTAGGTTACATTTATCAAACATTCAGAGATTACCTAGGAAACAACTCATATTTGTATGAATATGATGGACTCCAGAATTGTATCAAGATGATCATTGGTCAACTTGTAATTACAGATACTATTTTCCGCAACCAACAATATGTCCTCTCAGCTACAGGTTCCACTATCTCTGTTCTAAATTCCTCATTCATAGACATCGATGTATCTTCAAGACTACTTCGAATAAGTGAGTCTGATATCTTGCTCGAAAACACTACTTTGTCAAATCTAACTTGCAGGACAGTTTCAGATGAGCTCTTCTATCTCATTAAGGCAAATACGGAGTTTATTACATTAAATTACTCAAACTCAACTTGTAAGCTGATAAACTCAGGACTTTCTCAGATTTACTTAAAGGTAAGTTTCAGTGTGTAAACTCTAGAGTGCAACTGTGAGAGAAGTTTCATTGACTGTAAACCCACTGATTGTGCTATTAAACTCTCAAAGAAACGAGACTAATAACGCAGGAAGATACATACCTACATCAATAATTGCTTCTTCGTTTGTGAAGGTGTCAACAACAGGGGAAAATCTCATTGAGTTTAAGAGCTCAAAGCTAGTAGACATTTCTAATACGAGCTTTGTTAATATAAACTCTCAAGTGCTAAAAATGGACTCATCAGCAGTTGACAACATTGAAGAAGTTAATTTCATCGAAAACAAAGGCTGTATTTCTGCTACTAAGTCCACCATCGAGCTTATGCATAGTTCTCTGTTCGAGCTTTGTGGTGATATTAACACAGTTAATGGAGGAGCAATGAGACTTATCAATTGTAACACACAAATCCATCAGTCTGAATTTGTCAAAAACAAAGCTGAAATTGGAGCCGGTCTCTCCATAGAGTGAGATTTTGGTCAAAGCTGTGTCAATAATTTTACAAATTTGACTTTCATGAATAACTCTGCTACTCAAATGGGTGGAGGAATTTACTACAACCTTGTACGTCCTCTGATGCAAAATATTACTTACAGAGACAACCTAGCAGAATATGGAGCCAATATTGCAAGTTATGCTGTAAGAATAGTCCAATCTGGAACGAAAGAAAACAAAATATATCTTTCCAGCGTTGCCAGTGGGCTCAAATATGATTCTGTGCTAGCATTTGATCTTGTAGATTATGATGACCAGATCATGAACCTAGAAAGCTCAACTAGCGTCAAAATTTTGATCGAAGACCCTGGCATTTCTATCAGAGGAGTTGATTTCGGAAGGCTTACTAATGGAAAAGCAGAGCTTGACAATGTTTACTTTATTGGCACAGCTGGGTCAAGTAATCACACTTATAAACTGACTTCGAAAAGTATTAACTCTAAGATCATTAGTTCTATTATTGGGAACTCTGATGGGAAGTATGACAACTTCCTTGATGTTTCGTTCAGGTACTGTAAACCTGGAGAAATTCAAACCAGCAATAATGAATGTGTAGAATGTAAAGTTCAAACTTACACATTTGAATGGAACTCAACTCAATGACTCAATTGAATGGAATCAGCCACCTGTCTCGGCAAAGATGAAATTGAAGTTGCTAATGGCTATTGGAGAAAATCTACCAACTCTTCTAAGATCATTAAGTGTCTCAATGAAGATGCTTGAATTGGAGGCTACCATCCTGAGAAAAATGACCATCCTGTCAAATGTGAGGAGGGATACAAGGGAACTCTCTGAACAGAATGTGATATTGTTGATGGCACAAAATACCAACCTCTTACAAATTTTAGGTGTAGTAAATGTCCTGACCCTGTATTTAACGCAATCCGAATTACAGGAGTAACCATTGCAGCATTTATGTTCTTGATGCTTTTGATTTACATAAACCTGCATAAAAAGAAAGAGAGCGAAATCTCGATTCTTTTAAGAATCTTGACTAATTACTTACATTTGATTTCAGCTTTCTTCTCATTCAACCTAACTTTGCCTTCAAGCTTTACAAATAGTTTCTCATTTATGAATAGAGTGTCTTCTCCAGATGAGACATTCTTCTCTTTTGATTGCTTTATTAATGATTATGAGATAAAGCTTTTTGCTCCTAACAATGCTTTGTTCAAGTTAACTCTGTATATTTTCTTCCCGTTGATAATGATCGCAGCCATCTTCTTGCTCTTTGGTACAATTAGAGTCTGACACGAGATGATCAAATACATCAAAAGGGAATGGTTCGATAGAAATGTTTCAAGAGGTGCTCTTTTTGATTTCAAACGTTCTATGATTGTATCAATGATTTGCATTATTTTCTTGTTTCATCCAACACTTATTGTGAAGTCACTATCAATGTTCCTATGCACAGAAATAGACGAAGGAGATTCCAGAATGACACACCATTTAGAATATCAATGATACTCTTGGGATCACTGAAAGTGGATTCTAATTGTAGCTCTCCCAACAATGGCAATTTGGGTATTCGGATTTCCCCTTTTTGCCCTCTGGATCCTCATCAAAAACCGCGAAAAACTTGACCAGCCCCACATGCAGAGCTACTTCCTCATCCTCTACCAAGGTTTCCGTAAGGAGACTTTCTACTGGGAGTTTATCAGTGCTCTTCGTAAGTTCGTAATCCTCAGCATCCACTCTCTTCTCGACAGGTTCTCTGTAGTGTACACTATCCTTCTCTCCTGCGGTAAGTCCTTTGCTAATTCCTAGTATCTCTGGTCTTCTTTTATTACTTGCAGAAGAAGATTAGGCCGTACAAGCTTGATGACAATAACAGGATTGACCTTGTGGCAGTGACTATTGGGATCATCACGATTTATTCAGGCATTATATTTTCGCTGGGTGATGAGAGTTATAAAGGGTTCTATATGGCAGCTTGGGTGGTACTTGTGTGGTTTAATGCGTATTTTGTACTAAACTGGTTCTACCTCCTGCTACTTTCTTTCGAATGAAGAAATGATAAGTAAGTCTACTCGCTTTGACACATCTTTCCATGAAAATAAACACACCTTTCAAGGAAGCGAGTGTTGAGAAATCATTCAAATATTTAATGGTAATTATAGGTACCTCTTCCTTGTAAATTTACTTGGGTGAATTCTGTTCAGAAAAAGAAAAAATCAGGGCGACATAAAACGTCATTCTGTAATATTAAACAGTGGACTAAGATCATTTGCAGTTAAAACTCACAAGAAACTTTCTAAGAAGAAAAAATCAAAAAAGAAATTTTCAAAAAAGAAAATCCTCAAACGTAAGCCTCTTCTAACCACTCCCTCACTCCTTTCTCTCATAATTCTATAACTCTCTACCCCACCCCACACCCTCAATTTCACTAATCCCAACTAGGAAGACACAAGAAACAAATTTTCCCCAGAAAGCACCACTCGCACAAACACCACCCCAAGCATCACCCCAATCTCCACAATCGTACACCCCCTCCTCTCACCCATAGACCCCCATAAGCCAAAATCCAGCCACCAGATCTCAAAATCCCCTACGTACATACCCTCCTCACCCTCTAGGCCTGAAGGAGTCTGGCATAATGACCCGTAGGTTACAAATTCTCCCCCTCAAAAGCCCCAAGTCTCTATTGACTCCTATACTTAGAAGCTGGCCGCTGGTCTGGCCTACAGAGAGAATTTATTTAGTAGAGAATAGGATTGGCTTGGATTTGGGGTATAGATTTTTGGATAATTAAATTTTTGATTTTTTGAGTAATGTTATTTTGTGTAGAAATTTGGATGAAAGCGCAGATCATAATATGTTTGTGTTGAGAAAGGTGCCGCTTGGAGATGAGAGATTAAATAAAGTAGATATTATACATGGAGTGTTCCCTCCAATTTCTGAAGAAATAGATCCATCTGATGGTAAGATTTGACTGTATTTGGTAATATTTTAATAGGCAAATATACAAAGTGAAAGAGAAATTATGATCGCAAAATGGAAATACTTGAAGAAGCTAAATTTGACGATGACTACTAAATAAAGAGTAGAAAGAGAGATAGCCAAGTAGATAATCCAAATCTATAGAGAACGACATTTCAAAGTTGATAGCTTCTGTGCTAAGATAGTCTTGAATAGTATCAGCCTCAGGCAGATTACTTTAGATTGTTCTAAAGCTTAACCTCTCTGGCATAATATCTCTCTAATTTCCCTATAATAGGCAAATATTATTTTTATCCAATATTAAATCTGAATATTCTCAACCTCTGAGGATAGCTCGGGGTTTTGGGGTTTTGGGGTTTTGGGG